GTGTGTGTGTGTGTGTGTGTGTGTGTGTGTGTGTGCGCGCGCAACAGAAATTTGCCAAGGGCCAGACTCTGTTGGACATGGTGTGTGGCCATCTGAACCTGCTGGAGAGGGACTACTTTGGCTTGACTTTCCAGGACACAGACAACACCAAGGTCAGACACACAAACACACACCCACCCACACAGATATGCATAGATGGGCACAGCAGGACATCTTACTTGTGCGTTTATTTATTCACTTTTACAGTTTTACATGTGTAACTGAAACTCTGTAATGATCGCCAGATGCAGCTGCAGTTAAATGAAATGCAGACTTCATACACACACATGCACGTGTACACTGGGTGTTTATTACACACTTTATTTCCTAAAGTTTGAGCTGGTGATTTTTGATAGAAAGACTAACTTTAAATAGAAAACCCCCCATTTCTGGTTTCTTCACAGTCTTCTGGTATTGTCAAGCTATTATACTGAGCTTTAATGTCATTTAATTACATTTTTATTACCACAGTGACCGTTAATTTGGGGGTTTAATTTGGGCTTTTTTGTGGATAGTTTTCAAGTGTTTTTTTTGTGGTTTCTTTTTATGGAGTATTTACTGTTTTGTTTGGGTTTTTGTCACTGACTTCAGAAGAAATGTCAGCCAGTCCTTTAGTCCATTTAACTCCTGCTTCAATGGTTTCTCCAGGTGTTATAAAGCAGTGAACCCCTGGCTGCCCTTTTAACTTTGCTTAACCACTTACAGCCTGAAAGTGGCACACATGGCCTTTAATATTTTAGAATGTGATTAGATAGTGTTGCCTTTTAAAAATAGTGCAGAGGGTCTGCAGTCCACCATGAAAGCTCTAGTGGCATTAAGCAGACAGAACTGAATTCAACTGGCATTTATCGGCCTTAATATTAATGCTTTCTGTGTTTATAGAAGCCTTCATCGAGTTTCATGAATACAGTTGAATCCAACAAGGGAACAGAGTTATAAAAGGGAGAGCAATCAGCGAGGTCCAGTTCTTTAAAGGGCTCTTAAACATGAATATGGAGGTGGAATTTCTCAAAGGGGATTGTCTCTTTCTTTCTTTATCAGAATTGGCTGGATCCCTCTAAAGAGATTAAGAAGCAAATCCGGGGTAAGTGCAGCAGATGCACGCATACTGTACACACATGCACACACATGCACACGCGCACACACAGTCAAACAAGTCCGCGCAAAAAACAGCAGAGGCACAGACATCCTTCACTAAACAACCTTTGCTGGGGCTTCGTCCACAGTTGGTCCCTGGAATTTCGGGTTTGCTGTCAAGTTCTACCCTCCAGACCCATCTGTGCTCATTGAAGACATTACCAGGTAGGTCTGACTGCTTCTGTTAAGCTTGCTTGTCAAATCAACCATCAACTATATCAACCACTGCACTCAAAAAATAGTGTTCTGGTCATTGTTAACTTCTCTTGAACCTTTGACCTAAATTGTTTAATAGGACTATAGTAGCCTGCTATCAAAGAATTGAGGCTGGGACTCATTACAGTACTCGATTCCTTCAGATGTTCCAGTTAGGCTGACAGTTAGATCTTGAAGAGAAGTGTTACCAGCATCTCTGCCTCTGTTTTTTTAGGTACTATTTGTGCCTGCAGCTGAGGGATGACATCCTGTCTGGTCGTCTCCCATGCTCATTTGTCACGCACGCCCTTCTGGGCTCCTACACAGTCCAGGCGGAACTGGGAGACTATGAGCCCGAGGAACATGGTCCAGACTACGTCAGCGATTTCCACTTTGCCCCCAACCAGACGCGCGAGCTTGAGGAGAGAGTGATGGAACTACACCATAACTACAGGTCATAGAAAATATGACTTCATTAGTAAACTCAATGCTCTTGTTTGCGATCTGAGGAATTAATATGAATAATAAGAAGTGAAGGATCGGTTGTGGCATTTGCACTGTAGGGGAATGAGTCCAGCAGAAGCAGAGATGAACTTTCTAGAAAATGCCAAGAAACTCTCGATGTATGGAGTTGACCTGCACCACGCTAAGGTACAGGGATGCTCTCTTTATTGTTTCTCAGTCTTTTTATCTGTCAGTACCTCTTCTTCTGGCTCTTTGATACTCTGTGAATTTGTTTAATAGGATTCAGAGGGAATCGACATAATGCTCGGTGTCAGTGCCAACGGTCTGCTCATCTACCGTGACCGCCTCAGGATCAATCGGTTCGCCTGGCCAAAAATCCTGAAAATCTCCTATAAGAGAAGCAACTTTTACATCAAGATCCGCCCTGGAGAGGTTAATAAAAAACGTTTTGTTATCTGTTCTTTAGTATTTTGCTTGGAAGAGCTGGAGTTCACAAGTACTGCATGCACAACCCCACCAGAGCAGCTCCTCTTCACTTTGCCAGAACTGAGGCGAGTGAAATAAAGAGTCGTTTGGTAAAGAGCTAGCTTCACATTTCTATTTCATGGTTTCACAGTTGTTAAAATTATATCACCGCCTCTCTTGACTCGTCCAAAGCAGCGCAAATAGTCATTTCATGGTTTGATAAAAGTGTTACTTCTGAGATGTATCTTGCTGCACACCATGTGACAACTGCAGAGAGTATTTTATCAGGCATTATTTATAGACTTTAGAGATGCCGTTCTTAAAGATTTGGCTGATAGGTCATGTTTTTATTCTTGTCCTTCTCTCTTTCTCGACTTTCGAGTGTGATTAGCCAGTCGGGAGGATTTGCATTTTCATAAAGGATTTTACTTACAAGTGTAGCAGTCACGTTATGCTCGCTCTGGTTTTTCAACTCCCTAAAGTTATTATGATTTCCCTTCATTCTTTGGCCTTGAGGGTATCTGCAGTGCTTTATATCCACAGTTAAACTGACTTTGACATCTTCATAGTGAATACCAAGCCCATTCTGTGCATACACTTTGTTCTGCAGATGTATCCTCTTAAGTCAGCTGTCACTTTAAATTTGCCTGGAGGGTCATCATTGTGGTTTAAAACCGCTTTTATTCTTATCTGTCCCCATAGTGTTTTTGTGTGGAACTAAAGTGCTTCCTTTTGTGAATGGACTCCACCCAATGTTTAAGGACCTGTTATATTGCTAATAACCTATTGATCTGAAAGCATTTTCCTCCCTGTTCACACAACTGAATGTCTGATGGACTGAGTGCATGAACAACTAATTTATAGGTTGGTTAGAGATGGAAAATCTACCCGTCATGGTAGCAGGAGACACAAGGCGAGTAAACAGAAAACACTGATTTTTCCATTGCTGCAGAGTAAACACATTTCACCCTGCCGCCCTCCCTCCATCTTCCACTTCACTTGCTTCCCTCACTCTCTTTTTCTTCTTCACCTCCCCGCCGCCTCCTCCTTTCACCACCTCCACTCATGTCCCTCATCACTCAGTATGAACAGTTTGAGAGCACCATAGGCTTCAAGCTGCCCAACCATCGGGCCTCGAAGCGATTGTGGAAGGTCTGCATTGAGCACCACACCTTCTTCAGGTAGGCCTTAATGCTCACAGATACAAACAGCACGTTTTCTGCACTGTGCTCACTCTGACCTGCATGAACCTTGGCACAGTAGACCTAGAGTATCCCTAAAGTGTTGATTTTCTAACTATTGATTGTAACAGTTTTCTTAAAGAGTCTGTAGATGAGTGATAAAAAAATGCTCTCAAAAGAGTTTGGAAAATTTCTTTGATGGTTTGGAGGTAGGAAGAAGAAAACAAGTCTTGCAGCAAATACATCAAAATGAATCATAGGAAAGTAATTTGATATAGGTCATACAGTGTGAACACTGACCTTATTTGTAGGATTTGTACTGAAAAATTGGATATTTTTAGGGGTTTACACTGATTTTTTTTTAAACTTTGTTAGTTCCTAGAGTCAGCAAATATATGATAGAAGAGAGAGCTTTCTTGTCTGCATGGTACAGTTGTGGTCATAATTTTAAATGCACTCATGATGGGCATTAATTTCATGGTAATTTTGACCTTTTAATGAACTGTTCTTTTTTTCAAGAACAGCATATATCTTAAATGAATAAAATGAAATAAAAAAAAAAAACAAGTATTTGGTTCCCAGGTTTACATTTATTTTAGATTTTCTCTAATCCAGATAGGATTAAAAGTATACATGCAGGCTCAAATATATAGATAATTGGTTAAATGTCTCTTAGCAAGCAGCACCTAAACCAGATTAGCCATCAACATCTTCTTGTACAACTCTGGCGGGATACTGAGCACTGTTCATGGCAGAACTGGTAGAGTTCATTTACACTGGTTGGTGTCCAGACACACACACACACACACACACACACACACACACACACACACACACACACACACACACAGAGCGAGAGTAGTAAACAACTTTATAATATGGTTGTGGTCAGTGCATTGGAAAGGGGATTCCAGAGGTTTAATGTTAGCCTACTTTATCAGTTCCAAAACTAGTTTGGGATCATTTTCTTGTTTTTTCCAAGTTTTGATCATCTAGCTGTTGAGATTAAGTTGAAAACTTTGGAGGTAATCATCCTCCTTCATTTTTTGACATTCACTTTGTACCACATACCATTACCAATGGTGGCAAAACAGCCCCAGAGCATGATGCTACTGCCACCATGCTTAACAGCTGGTGCAGTGTTCTCAGATTTGCAAGCCTCACCTTTACTCCTCCAAAGATATGTCTTGTCATTTTGGCCAGATAGTTCAATCCTTGTCTGACCATAAAAAGAAGGCATTTGTCCATGTGGGCAGCTGCAAATTTCTGTTGAGTTTTTGTTGTCAATTTAGGAGCTGGAGCGTCTCTCTTTGTCACCACCCTCTCAGTCCATAGAGATGAAAAACTGTGGACAGTGATGGTGGCGTTACAGTGTTTTCCAGTTCATGGCAAGCTTGAGCTTTGGTAGTTTCTGAACATCCTAACCAATTTCCTCTCATCTGAGGGTGGCAGTTTGGGTCTTCTTCCAGATCTCGCATGCAAAGTGGGGGACACATCTCAATAACTTGTACGCACGTGCAAGTGTCTAAATGGAAGATCCTGAAATCTGCAATTGTTTAGAAATGGTCCATCATGCTTCTGGAATGGCCTTCATAAAGACCCTTACCTCAATCCTATTGATGATTTGTGCACTATGCTTAAAGGCCATGTCTGTGTCAGGAAACCAACCAATTTATGTGAATTCTATCAACTGTGCCAAGGTCAGATATCCTGCCTGGATTATGCCAGAAACTTGTTGATGGCTACCAAAATCATCTGGTTGAGGTGCAACTTGCTGAGAAACATTTAATCAAATATTTGTGTGGATTTATGTATACTTTTGAGCCTGTTTGGATTAGATAAAATCCAAAGCAATTTCAGACTTGTGCACCTAATCCTAGGTTTTTAAAATCTGAACTATAAAATTCTATTTTTTTTACTTTCTGATTTTAAAAAATGTATCAATTTGCATTGAGTTTCCGCATTAATTTGCATTGTTTTTTTTCTACAACCAGTATTTTCTTTTACAATTTTTGCTTAAATTTAATTTGCAATTTCAGGTTTTTCAGGAAAAAAAAAGACTGGTGATGTAGAGGTCTCAGAAATTCATTAAGATTCATGTAACATTGTAACTCATAATACACTTAGTGTTACAGGGTTAAAGATGTATCCAGTGCAATCATTCCATCCTAGAAACAGAACACTTTAAAGAAATCACTAGAAAGTCCAAAATTACCACAACAAAAATGCCCATGATAAGTATAGGTAAACTCATCAGACAGGATATGATTAGCTTAGACGAAGAGAAACTGTTATGAGAGTCAAAAGTTATGATTTAAAGACTTTAGACATGCTGTTAATGAAACACAGGTTTTGATGAAATCATGAAAACTCATGAAAACATACGAATGTTGGGAAAACGGGAAACACAACGAGGTCAGACTGGATGTCAGTCAGACAAACTGATAAAAGACTGAGAGAAGGGCAGGACTAAATAAAGCACAGAGTGCTAATTGGGTAGCAAGACACAGGTGGAGGCAGGAGATTCTTTAGTTAATTCCAGTAAATTTCCAGAGAAATCAATAAATAATGGTTCCGCAAAGCCCTATCGAATATGTGCCACATATATTCATTTTTAAGTGAACTGAACCTTCCTGCAGGTTGGTTTCCCCAGAGCCACCTCCCAAGGGCTTCCTGGTGATTGGCTCCAAGTTCCGCTACAGCGGGCGGACCCAAGCCCAGACCAGACAGGCTAGCGCTCTGATTGACAGGCCCGCTCCACAGTTCGATCGTTCTGTTAGCAAGAGGTACCTGCTGCCTCGAAGCATTGACGGAGGTAAGAACCCAGACTCTTTCACTGTCGGTATGGACATTTGCCGTGAGGCAGTTTGTTCTCTCCACAGAGTACAAATATTTCAGCAAGAATATTTGTTGATTTTGTGTTGCAGCCCTCAAAGTGAAAGGGGCCAGACATTCCTTGTCAAAAACAAGAATTAACATTAGATTTAGATATCATTTTATGCGCAGCACATTCAAAAGCTTAACCTAAAAACTCCTGGTGTTTTATGGTTACCCTCCACTTGCTTTCAACCAGCCTCGGCTCTTGGTGACAGTATGGACCAGCTGTCCCAACGAAGCTCCAGTGAGCGCACACAGTTCATGTCTAGAGAAGATCTGGACCAAGAGGGCAGCCTAGACCTGGACCACGATCAATATCATTATCAAGACCAAGATCAGGACCACTACACAGATCAGGAAGACGATCAGAAGCTGACACTGGGTGCCAATATCTCACCACCGACCAAGACTTTGGAGCTGAAGGTACCAGATGAGAGGACAGACTTGAAATGCACAGAAATCCGACTTCATTCATGCTCTGATTTTCATAGTTCAAAGCTGTACAAACAAATTACATGTCATTGTTAAGAAGAAGAGAGTTTCTATTTAGCCACAACCGATCAATCAGCAGTGCAAATGAAATCAACACATCTGTTAAATAGGATGCTGTAAATGTAAAAGCTACATCGCAGTTTTGAGGACACTGCAGAGAAATAAACAAAAAGCAATTAATCTGATTCATTGGGAAAGGTAAACAGCACACTGTGCATCACAACTGAAAAATATCTCACATTAACTCATCTTCTCTTTCCTCGTTCCTTTTTTATTTAAGAATGTAATCACCTTTCCTATTTTTCTCTCCTTGGCTTAATTAACCTGATTCCCGCTCTTCCGGTTATGAGACTTCTCAGTATGCACCTTCTTTTCTCATCATTTTTCTTAAATCATCTCCTCAAATCTAACTCGACCTCTTTGTAGTACATAAAACGTCTCTAACCGAGCACCCTCCCTTTGACCAGTAACATTCTCTTTGTATCACCGTAAACTTAACAATCTTAGCTAACCTCTTCTTACATTTCTGTCATGTGCCTTGTGCTTTCCTTCAGGGTGAGGAAGCAGGCTCGCCTGTAGACTCAAAGCCTGAGGTATTTTGGTATTGGACTTTGGTGTCTGTATACGTGCTTTTTTTTGGTCGTTCAAGGTCATGTGCTCGTGCACTGTGTTTGTTAAGCACGACCTGTCTTATGCCTGTGTTGTTTGTCTGTAAAAGAAATGTTATTTCTTTTGATTTCATGGTTTCCAGGATTTCACTAGGTATAATCCGTGGAAAATGCATGAATTGATTTTCAAGAAAAGACGAGAAATGTTATATATAGATTTAATCAAGCTTTTTGTTTTATTTCGTATTTTCCTGCTGGAAATAGTTGTTTCACTGGAAAGAATGATTAAACTGTAATAAGCATTTTGATGCTAAAAAGAGTAAGACGTCTATTGAAGAACTGACTTATTTTTCTCGACTTGCAGCACAGTTTCACCAGCATGCCTCTGCAACAGTGTCCCCGTATGACATTAGAGGGATTGTTTGTCACCAGCAGGATAAACAGATGGCCTTTAGGCACTGTAGACGATTCAGTGAATCGGTGTTTCCCCACTTTGCAAATCTACCGATCCACCAATTAAACTGCCCCAAAATCTACATCTTTGTTTAATTTAGAAATATATTTATTTAAAAACCATCTTTCTCTATGCTCTTATTTGTTTTGTAAAAGTCCTGTGCAGGTAGTTGTGGTGCTGTTTTCTTGACTACTGCAGGAAATATTGGCATCACATTAGTGGCTTAATGGACTCTTTGTTTGTGGTTTTGTAATACCTTCCCATCAAATCTTTGGATCAAGAAGTATGGGAATAATCCTCCTCCAAACCTTTAAGTTCAGTCAATAAATGTCTTCATTAATTACCAGTTGGCTGACACTGAAATGGATTGTCCCTCTCTTCTTGGCAGAACATTAAGTGGCTTAACAATCACAGTCCAAAGCCTCAGTGGTGTCAACTGTTTCTGTTTGTCAGTCTGGCTGCCTGCCTTTTTTGACTCACCTGCAGCATTTTACCTCTTTGTCTCTGCACGCATCTGCTCTCTTTCCCCACCTCCACCCCCTCAAACTCCCAACCCTTCCGCTTTGCTCGAAAAAAACCTTTCACTTCATGTCGCTTGCCCCACCTCATCTGTCGGACAAGGAACTGGTCACCCTTCGGCCTAAACAGGAGGTACAGCTTGTCATCTCTTTTTGGCATGAGACGTGTGTGACTCTCATCAGGTGTTCAGTGTTTGTTTGTTTTGTTTTTTGTATTCATAACTGTACCACTCGCAGTTTGAAAACAGGAGTCAGCAGCGGAGCTCCTGAAAACAGATATATTTTCCTACAGAGCACATAATCTTTTATGCGCTTTGTACATTTTCTGGTCATATCTAAAGCCTTTATTGGCCATCCACGTGGTACAGTTTTTATTTCATAAAGAAAACAATCCGTCATGCTACCTACCTGATCAGACAGAGCTTGGTTACGATTGTTCATTTTCCAGTTAAATCCAAATCGACTTCATTGTGCTGTGAACCAGAAATAGACTTAGAAGCTTTCTATTTATGCTGTCTTTTTTTTTCTGTTTTTCCTTTCACTGTGTGAGTAGCAGTTCTTGGACAAACCAGAAGATGTTATACAAAAGCACCAGGCCAGCATCAACGAGCTGAAGAGGGCTTTGAGGCAGCCTAACAGCAAAATGGCCCAGAGAGAGAAACGCATCTCTTCAGCTACTCCTCCTGGAGGGACTCCGGAGCGGAAACCAGTAAGAATGACATTCTATTTCCAAGTTATGGCACATACTATCATTGTTAAAATATCTATATTACCATTTTCTAAACAGGCTGTATTGGTCCTAGGCCAACATATATATTTCTTCACAGAGTATGCCAAAATTTGGATTCCATTAAACCAATTCACAGAAAAAAAAACCTAAAAATGCTTTAAAATTTACACAGTGATACCCCCCAGTTGTTTTTCTTTGGGATTTTTTTTTGTGTGTGTGTGTGTGTTTTTTTTTTTTTTTTACAATTCTTCTTTACAATAGCATTGTGGGGTAACAGTAATGAATGGAAGAGCCGTTTATCTAGTTAGGCTAATGAAACTGTCTACTCTATGTTAACATAGGCGACCACTGACGCCAAATTGATTGACAAGCAGGATGCTTATGAAGGAACACTGGACTCTTACTCTTACGTGGAAAAGAGTAAGACCTCTTCAGAGGGTAGAGACACATTTGCAGTGACATCTTGGACTGAAGCGAATATGAACAATTGCCAGACACGCCCAGACTCTGGAAGAAGTCGACATGGAACATCTCCAAAGCGGGAAACTGAGTTTATTGCAGCAGGACTAAGAGATATGAACCCCATGGCTGGTACAGTAGCAGCTAATGGGCATCATGAATCTGTTCAAATTCGGAGAGCCATTCAAGAAAATGGATATGAGTCTCCACCTGAGAAACAGGCAAGAGAACTGAAGAAGGATTTAAGACATGGCCACTTTGAGCATCGAGAGAGGCCCAAGAACTTTGAAACTCCAGTGGCTTGGGATTCTGTCCCAAAGGGCAGTGCTTCAAGACACAGTGAGGCTTGGAAAATAAAAGACCCAAGCCCTGTGGGAGAAAAGGATTGCAACAAAACTGGGAACTCACACACAGAAGTAACAAAAATAGTTCCTCTCAAGCCGCAGAGATCAAAGAAGTCTATAAATAAAGAGAACAAAGATTTAAACCCTCAAACGCACAGCCAGCCTGACAGAGGCGTCTTTGGTGCTGCCGGGGATGTACAGATGACAAAATCTTCCTGTGAGTCAGGAAGGAGACTGGATGATAATGCTGTACCACTGTCTGCCACAGATGTTGTCAAGGAAAACACAATGGACACCAAATACCAGGGTGAATCTACAGCGTTGTATCAGCAGCAAAGTCAAACACATCAGCAGATTAGGAACGAGTTTGTCGGACAACAGGAGCTCAGGGACTGCAGGGACTCTGCAGGCCAGTGGACGAGAGGAGGCGTTGCATTTGAAGAAAATTCTCAAATCACCTCAGAGTTTAGCGCCAAATTTCCAGCAGCTCCCCCACGCACTCTCCCCCTGAAAACACAGTGGTCCCGAGACAGACTGAGCAACATGGACAACAGCCACATCCACCACAGGACGCCCAACCAAGAAACAGCCAAGAGGAAGCAAGCGGTAAACCATCTGCCCCCCTTCCCCCCAACCTGTTTGTCAGTCATCGGAAAGTAAAGCATTGCATGAGCTTCAGGCGATGTGGTGCAAATTGTTTTTGCCATCTAAAAACAAACCTTCCAAAAAAAAAAAAAAAATCACACACACGCATAAACTTCAGAATTCATGTGGCTGTGTATGAGAAAGCAAAAGTTCACGTTCCTTCGCATCGCCTCATTGACCGACTCAGTTCACGTCCATGGCCTAGGGGGCATTTTGCTTTCCCTTCTTCCCCTCCGCAAATCTTGACATCTGCTTGGCCATTTCAGAACGCTGTGGGCCTTTAAGCAAACTTCCCATTGCTTAAGCTTCAGGCGTCCCTTCTATCCCACCTTAACTTGTCACGTTAATACCTGGTCTCTCCTTCCAACACTCAGAGCGAGGGTGACTGCTGTTGCAAGGAGCGCAAGACCTTTTTCCACCATTTTTTTCTTTGAAACCTCTTTTTCCACATAATTTGAATCCTTTGTGTAAATGGCTGAGGAGGCCATTTGAACCAAATGTTCTACCTTGGCACCTCTGCAGCAAAGCAGAAAAATGAAAAAGACGATTAGATGTAATCACTGGCTGCAGAGCTGCCAAACCTCTTCAGGGTTCAGGCTTTCATATGCCGCATTTAAAAATATGAATACCTTTTCCCTGAAAGGGAATTTTGAAAAATCAAACCTTTCAGTGCATGGCATTACCATTGCACTTGCAGTCATTTTTAATGATGTCAGCCTGTGAAATATACCCAGTTTGCATGCTTTTGACTGCAGCTTAAAGGCTTTGGAGTTTGGGGGATCTCTCACATTGTGTGTTTATCGTGCAGGTTTAGGAAAAGCCCCAAAGTTTATGAATGACTTAGACATGTTTGCTTACAGATAAGAACTCAACAGTGCTAAAGCGACATGCTTAATAGCGGTGAAGCAAGAACACTGCAAACTCGGGCTCTCCAGATATCAATTATTTCATCATGTGCAAAAAGCAGAACTCGACATCAAAGCAGTTTCAAAGAAAACTTTTTCTAACTTTTATTTTTGGATATGCTTACACACATTAGCTATAGGGAGACGGTATAACTTGTGGCTGCATTTCGGTGAATTCACGCATGCTTTCATATCGTTGTTTGCTCTTTGTTTGTTTGCCTTTTCCATAGGAGACACCTCCCACCCCTGCTATCCATGAGGAGCCTCTCAGTGAAGCTTCAGTGAGTCATCCCTCGGCTCCTCTCATATTTATTATGTAGTCACACCTTGGGAAAAGAGTAAATAAACTACAATTAGATATTTGACAGATTTTATTCAAGCTGCTCTTTGAGGCGTGTTTGTTTTTGTATCCAAAGCGTGGAGATAAACGCACAAAAGCACAGCCCGTAAATTCATATTTAATCAAACGGGGAAACTGAATATTTTAAAGTGCCAGCTCGACATCATGCCTAAATCTGATATCTAATATTTTGTGCCGCTGTTAAATGTTCAATAAGCATGTTTCCATGTTTAATTGTGATCAGAGATCAGAGTAGAGAAGCTAATGTATGTACTTTACATGCTGTACATTGTCTAAAAGTGCAGAAGATAAACCACATCAAATTATCATCTGTCTCCTCTATAGAGGGAACCATGGGAGAGGCGCCTGGGCTCCGTATCAGAGGATGATCAGGACCACGAGATCCTGTACTTGAAGGAAACCCACCTGGGCATTGAACGAAAATGTTCCAGCATCACAGTCAGCTCTACATCCAGCCTGGAAGCTGAAGTAGATTTCACCGTCCTCACGGACCTGTACACAGGCATGGAAGAGTTCTCCAGGGGTATGTCGGAGCTGGGAGAGAGGGATCTGTCACCTGATGGGGGTCTGCGCTTTGGCATCGACATGCTCCAGCAGCAACAGCAGCAACCCTCTGAGCCACCTCCTCCCTTAGTATCGGCTCCTCTGTCCAGAAGAACCAGCAGCAGTCCTCCAGCCAAACAAATCCAGGCTGAAGAAGTCCGACCAGAAGTCAAACGGTCCGATGTCCAGGTAGATCAAAGTTTTCAGATCAGCTGTGTAGAACCACTGAGAAGTGTCTACTTCTTTGGTTTGTTTTGTTTTCACACTGCGCTATTTTTAGGCACCTAAAAATATGCATCTTGGCTCCTTTTTAAATTCAGACGCCAGTGCAGGAAAGAATGGGTGTTAATTTGATCTGAAAGCAAGTAGCATGAAATCATTACTCTACAGTTTTATCTCTGCATGTTTGTAACCGAGCACTTGAGAAATAAATAAAGCCAAGCGTGAATGCAATGGAAACAACAGGAAGAAAAGAGCTGAATTCCTCTCCTCCCCAGCACTTTTCCCATAACACCAACCACATCCACGCTCTGCGTCTTTCCCAAGTTTCCCAACAAAGTGTGATGACAAGGTAGCTGTGGGTGAATTCATGCAAGTTTATTCACAAGGCTGTGGTTTGCCTGTGCAGTGGGTGGTCAGAGGGAATGTAACAAAACAGAAAATTATGGGTTCATGATTTGAGTTGTAAAAAAGCTGGGCGGCTAAAAGTATTCAAGCTTCTGACACCTCTAATGCACTAAAATCCACAAATGAGCAGATGAAGTGACTGTCGTGAAATATGCAGGAAAGGGATGTGCTTTTAGTTTGAAGTTTTAAAGAAGGTAAACGAAAGAAAACCCACTTTGTTCTTTTCCTCGTTTTTTATGTTTAACTTTTTACTAAAGTAAGATATCTCTTAAGCTTCCAAACTTCAGACTCTCAGGTTGTCTTTTGCTTTCTGTTCTGATTAAATTATGTTCCTTTTCGCAAACAGGGGGCTTTCAAGCCTTTTAAAAACCTCCGTTTCTGCACAGAGTCTCAGAACAACACTACGAACTATACACACTCTTATTAATATAAACATTCCTTCTCTTAAGCCTGTAGTTCCCAAAAAACCAAAGAGATCAGTCCCCGTGTCTTCATCAGTGGACCGAGATCAGTCACACAGAGAAGGCAGTCGTGTCTCTGCCGCCACACCACTGAGCAGGGAGGGCAGCGATATCAGGCCCACGCCAACAGTCAGAAAGACGGACATCAGGACGGAGACTCAACCCAATGGGTCAGAGGTCACCACGACCATCGTGGAGTTCACGGATCAGGTTAACTTCATATTTCACTGCTAAAAATGTACAGAAAGGTAGACCTGTAAAATATCTGGACATAATCCAATCAATCTGTCTGTTTCAGGATCACGGCATCACTGGACTAAGTGAAGTTTCTTACTCTACAAGACAGAGCGTTTCCCCTGTGAGTACAGACAGGGGGACCTCTCCAATTTTAACTCAATCTGCAGCACACTCCTTCTTGTTCTCCAGGGTTCAAACCTACTTACAAAGCCCAAAGACACGAATTCAGGAACACACATCTGACTGAATGTCACAAAATATGGTTCATGTGTCTTTGTAACATTTGCCTCATGCCTCCTCAGGTGCACAAAGGCAGTCTTGGCAGAGAGACATCAGGCTCTCCCATCCTCGTCTCTGAAAATGTTACCTCAGCTACCACTCATGTTACAAAGGTAGAGAAGCTCAAGTAAAACTCACAAAGTGCACATTTAATTTATAATTTAGTGCCGCTTATCTTCTTTAAATGTTAAGGCTGTTAAAAGAAAAGCTGTTGTCTGTATGCTGCAGACAGTGAAAGGAGGATACTCAGAGACCAGGATCGAGAAGAGGATCATAATCACAGGAGACGATGATGTAGACCAGGAACAGGTGAGCAGAAATTGACAAATGAGCTTTGTTACCTTGGCACCCCAGTACGGTTCAGTCTTTATATTAAAGTGGTGTGATTAGCTTGCCTGAGAACAGTGCAAGAGACTAATCAATTTGTACATGACTGAAGCAGAGGAGTAGCTAACTTCCTGGCTACGTTTTCATAGTGTATGCATCCATCATTGTTCATCAGCTATAAAAGCTTTTTGGTTAAAGACGGGCCCTTCTGAGTTGCTAGACAGTTTTTAAGTGTGTTTTGTGATTTTATTACAGCAAATCAACTTTTTAGCTGATTTTTATATAAGAACTCACAAAGCCTAAGGCTAAATTGTTATATTCTTTAAGTGGGCAAATACATTTACTGACTAGATAAAATATAAAATGAGCATTTGGGTATCTAAAGACCAATTTTTAAAATGAATTGTAATTCCAGCTCCCTTTGCGAGCACAAATCAGTATTCAAAGGAGCTTGCAAAGAAAAGCGTCTGGACTGTCCTGACGCTTGTCTTTGCAAGCTCCTTTGACTACGATGACCTGGATTACTGAGAACCTTCACAGACACAAATCAGTATCTGAACCTGTGTTCTGTTTTTGTAAGATACAGAAAAGTTCCATAAGGTACTTGGGTGGAGGGGTTTAAGCAATTCATTTCATTCAGGACACACACTTCACTCTTTCCTTTCAGGCTCTGGCTATTGCCATACAAGAGGCCAAGCAGCAGCATCCAGACATGCAGGTGACTAAGGCAGTTGTTGTCAGGGAAACAGAATCATCCACTGAGGACCGACACGGTGCATCAGAGGTACAGCTGGCATCTTGACGCCATGCAACAATGGATGAGATTTTTACATCCTCTAAACTCTTTTGAGGTTAAGGGATTTAACATCCACGTCTCCTTTCTTTGCTGCAGTCCTGATTTCCTGAGACGAGAGTGCCCCCCTTTGGACAAGAAGCGTCAGTGCCCGACTTGAAATTGCCGCCCACCATCCCAGTCGATTAAGGACTACTGCCTGAGGCGCTCTGCCAGAGCCTCTTATACAAGTTCACACACAAACCTGAAACAGGACTCTTCAAACGATTTAATTTGTATTTGAACGTTTCATTATAGAAATCGTCATCATGTTCAACAGAGTGACTTTTTTTTGCAGTCAGGCTTCACAAGTAAGAGAAAAAGAAAAAAAAAAACATTTATTAATTTTACATGGTTGATAACATGCCACAAGAATTCCAAACATGTGGAAAAATTTCAGACATAATTCAAGTAAATTCCCTGCAAAAAATCTCAGGGTCTATATGTTCAAATCACTCGCTTTGGTATTTCTAAACAAAAACAGAGAACACAGGGAATTCATTGGGAAAGGGGTTTATTTAGATATGAGTGGCTTATACTCTCATCATGTGATTTCTGCTGTGTGCTAAAGAAAAAAAATGTGCTCACATTGTGTCACTGAGTAATAGAATCTAGTACATGTAGCTCCAGTACTGTTAAAGCATCCAGTCACTCGCAGGGTTTAGTGAAAACTGTTTAGTTTTCATAGCTAGTCAAATAAACAAATATCATCCCATCGCACTGAATGATGAAGATGCACTGATTAGAGACGACTGCGGTCCTCTGGAGGCGTTTATTCGAGTATTTAGCGAGGACCAGTGTTAGCTATCTAGTAATATTTGACTTCCTTTAAACATATCTCACCTCGACGTGTGGGTGGTAAGTATGCATATCTGCATTTATGTCTTGACATTAGGAGCTGTTGATACACAGTGTACCTGTTGTATTTATTCAAACAGTGGCAATGTAGTTTCTGAGCATGCTGATGTTTCAGAATGAGCCCAGTCTCTCTCCTCTCCCAGCCTTTAGATACGCGCTCAGAACTCACCTGGATTTAAATCCTCATTGGCCGTTGTGTGTGTAGTAAGTAAGTACATAGAGTAGGCTTACATTCCTTGTTCAAGTCACAGAACGGGCTCCTGCATCAGTAAAAGTAGTGTCTGAGATAACTTTTGCATGATGATGATTTCTTTTGGATGAATGGACTGTAAATGACTTCAGTGGATATTAACTCATCATAAGGAGCGATGATTCTGTCAACGACGGGAACACCCTGAGAAATTACAAAGCTGCAGAGACTGAATTGTTAATAATCTAAAATCTTGAAGAGAAATGATGCGTGTTGGCGAGGGTGGAAAAAAAGTGGGAAATGTCAAGTACACAGTACACTCAGTTATGACAGCACACTCGATTATTCTGTTGCAGCCCTCTTACATTCTCATCTCTTCTCAAACCGCTGGTGATGTTCATCTGGTCCTAACCTAGGCGTTTTCTACTTATTTGCCAGTGAATGAACATAATGTGGCCCACATAATGTGAGCTTACGTTCTGCAACCAAGCTGAAATGGCATTATGCATCAGAGCTCTGCCAACGCTCTTTCGTGTAAAGTACCATGTTAGAAATAAGATACACAGTAGGAGACGCATTTTTGGACTTTTAGTTGTGTGTAATTTGGTACATGGATGTTAGAAGGATGCTGTAGAGATGTAACGTGCCAACTGAGGTAGCAGTCAAACTGTACAAACCCTGGTTTTGTATGAAATAACTTTATATGAGCAACTTTTAATTACAAAGTGTCAGAAGGTCAAATGCACACATTTTTTGGTATGACATGGTTTCCCTTTAAGTATACTGTCTTTAGCGTTAAAAACAATATATAACTTCTGTATCTTTTTCAGAACTCATATTTTATATATAGACCAATACATGCAGCAGAAAATTCAAACAATTGATAAAAGAAATGTCAAAAGCTGCCACTCAAGGTTTATGAGGAAATTAACAGGCTTTCAGACACTAAACTATACCGTCTATGTTCACGTGTCTAGTGTAACTCCTTTTGTGTTCCTTATTTTGGTTCCAAAGTGATGCTTAGTCATGGATGTGGGTGTCAAACTGAAAGGTGGAAAAAAGAATAATGCAACCACGCATACCTTGTACTGTATATTTGGTGCTGTTTAGTGGATCGTGAAGATGTATAGTAGTTAATGGAAATGGGCTTGATGTACACTAGGGGGCACCGGTTACCTAAAAGAAGCCAGCTTAGCTGCAACATCAAGCATACCCAGCTGAAGTCCTTCTCACCATCCTTCACTGGATCGACCAGCATGGTCTGACTTACCTCTCTCTGTCCAGAAAAGTCCCACTCACGGACATGTGACAATGACCAGACTGTAATAACCAGACTGTGAATAATCGCAGACCCTCGACTGTGGCTGAGACACCTGGTGCCGAAGTCTGATTGGATGACCTCTGGCAGACCCTTAAACCTAACCTTGTCCTTCTGTACAGAGCTCTCCTTCTTCTTCTCCTCCTCCTCCTCTGCAGCTTCATCTCTTCTGCTCTGCTGCTTTCCACTGCTTAGTGCTGTATCCTTGCTGTACATTGTACTTGCATTCATTTGAAAATGAATAAAGACGAGAGAAAAAAACAAGGAGAACAAGATAAATGACAATCCCTCTGTTTGATCTGTGTCTCTAATACTATACTAGTGCTGTAAATGATTAGAAAGACACGGTTCAGGCATGCGTTTCTTTTTCAGGCAGTGAATATTGCATATTTACCTTTTTGGCATTTAAGTAGTTTCTAAGTTTTAGATAAGGTACCATAAATCAAATAACAGCCAGGAGAAAACAATGAGGAGACACAATTCAAATTTTAGTTTCTGCAAAAAACACCTGTATTTGGAAATCTGGGAAAGTTATCCATAAAACAGTTTCAGGAACCTGCTTGCACACACACACACACACACTAACATAAATATATATTCTCTTTGTTTTTTACTCACCCAACACACATACATATACCTTGCTTATACCAGGTTGGATCCCCTTTTGCCTTCAGACCTTCACATCCATGTTGACATGATAAAATGGTATAGATCTCTCGGCTGCACATTCATAATGTGAATCTACTATTTCACATCCCGAAGGTGCTCTATTTATTTGGGAATCGGTGTTACAGCCCTAGCAGGGCTTCCTCCTGAAGGTGCCTGTGTGGGCGTGTCCCACTACCTCTTCTGCCTGAGGTGCCACCTTTCCCTTTTGTGCAGCTGACTCTCGTCAGTAGTTAAGGAGATTTAAGCCCAGGGAAAGGTGAGCTCTGGGCCAGAGTGCCAGAGTGCGGTTACAGCTAGTGAGCTGAGTGTTTGTGGTGTTTGCTAGTGAGCTCCTCTTTTTGTCTTACTTTGTGCTTTATTGACCAACGCCTGAGAGTTGTTTCTTAAATGGTGATAGCGGCTTGTCCGTCTCTTTTAGTTAGTGTTAATACAAACTTTAATAAAACACTTCAACCCTTTTGCCTCCTTGACTCCTTTTTCTGACCCGGTCACTTTTTGCTACTTCCCCCTCACCGCCTAGACCCCCCCCAGGGGAACGTAACATCGGTGACTGGAGGCCGTTTGAGTACAGTGAACTCACTTTCATGTGTAAGAAGCCAGGCTGAGATGACTTGATGTTTGTCACATGGCACATGCTGGAAGCCGCCATGATTAGATGGGTACACTGTGATCATAACAGGATGGAAATTGTCAGTAAAATTGTTCATGTAAACATACAAATGTCAAAAGAATGCAAATAGAAAATGAATGGAGCTTAAGAACTTTTTTAAGTTCCTTTTTTTGTTTTTGTTATTTTTTTAGCTACTCTTTTATTCAGCTTTGACAGATGTGGTTGCCAGCATCTCATCTAAGTTTCAGATTCCACTTGGTGGAACATAACAAGTGGAGGTTTCCAACCTAACTTTTATTAGTGGAACAACACTAGAAAATAAAACTAACACTCTGATAAAGGCTTGCATTGCACAAGAACAATGGTGTTTTATTGAAGAGCTTGCCTAGGGTGTTTGTTCATCCCAATATACCTTTAAACAGAACTCCTTTTGGCAAGCTTCCTAAATATAAAGCAATACTGACCTGATGTGAGCAAGAAACTCTGAAGAAAAAGAGTCCATGAAGCTCGTGCAGTTCAGATACACCATTACAGGTTGTGTTTGGTTAAGCTTAATGCTGCACAGTTTCAGCCAGTTTATAGAAATCTGTATTCACAAATGAAACTATTACATTTCATTTAACTGCATGCATGAATAGATGTATGAAATTCAATCAGTCATGTGACTGTAGGTGATCCCACAGGCTGATGAATAACAGGAACTGATAGATTTTGGTGTGATGCAGAAAGTAGAACCTGTTCATCTGGACAACTTTTTTTGTTTGACCTCATAACAAATTAAATAACAAATTAAATATCAGATTTTCTGCTTGGAAAATAGATCAAATGAAAACCTGAACTTTCACACTTTTCCAGAGCGGTGATAGAGTTGAAAATTCCAGAGAGAAGCAATAAGTGGGTTAGGCTGGTTTTTGTTTTTTTGTTTTAATTTTATAAGGCTCTGTTAGAAATGTGAAAATTATACCCATATGGGTAGTCTGATGGAAAAACGCAGCACTTAGATTTTGAAGTATGCAAACTCTCCACTTCAGACATCAATAAAAGAAACAAGGAAAATGACTTTATGTTTATTAAAAGCAGGTTGTTCCGTTTCAGACACCCTAAGCAAGGTACACACACTGACTGATTTCATGCCTAACAGCGGCTGACAGTAAAGTACTCCCGCTACTTTGTAATAAGCTGGAAACGTCAGTAAATATCTGCCACTTATTGTATTACAATGCTCATTATGAAGGACAGAAGACAAAGGCCTGTTATGTCCTAAAACCGCCTAAAAAACATGATCTAAATTAGAGCATGACTGAGCCAAAATACAACGCGGATAAAGAAAAGGAGTATAAATAAAACCTCTTTTGAATAATAACAACGTGGGATATAACCATAGGACTTAAGGCTCAATTTGGGACCTGAGGATTTCATACATACGCGACATGTGCGACAACGCAGCTGACATTATTCGGCGTGCCTTTGTTGCACACTTTTCATAGATGAAGGAAGAAGATGAGACATCAATTAGTCAACAAAGATCTGCTGTTTACAGTGGAAGTAATACTGGGATGGACACGCAGCATTTTCTCACAATACAACAGGTATAACTGAACCTTGTAGGCTCTGTACCTTTGGTTCCACTCAGTTTCATGGCAGCTGAGGTTTTGATGTGACATAAAAGCATGAATAAAATACAGGTAAAAGTTACAAAGGTCTCAGATTCTGGTTGTCATAAAGCAATGAGACTTAGCTCCCTGCTTTTTAGCAGGGGATGACTAACAGTTGTTTTTTCCTCATTAGAACGCAGGAGGTTTTTCAAAGACAGCAGGGAAATGGCTTCAACCACTTCCTGTCTCAAATTAAGCTTAATGATACTCACTTGCTTTAGAACTCCTTCACTCTCTGTCATGTTTAAATCCCATCAACTGAGAAGAGTCCAGTGGAACATACACATCTGTTTAATAAAACCTGCACAGCCTCTTAAGCAAGAACATATACACACATTCTATTGTGGCCTCCAAGATGAAAACCATACGAGAACATCCACTGGTTAGAAAGAAGGCGAGTGAAAAAAAAAACGTCTTCAAAGAGACTGCAGTCGAGCCACAGTGTCCTTTCAGTTCCATAAAAGCAACTTATGAAAGAGCCAGTTCCTTTCAGTAACCACTTTAGAAAGGTGGAGGAAAAGAATCTTCCCCACAAAGCGATATTTGTAGAAAGAAGAGGAAAGACACAGTAGTGCAGGAAAGGGAGCAGGTGGGAATGTGGCTGTCAGCCTGTTGTTGTCTTTGACCTGCTTTTTCTCCTCTTAATAAGCAGCTGCAGAGCCTGGTTCCTGCAGACATTTGTCATAGCAGCGTTCTGGCTGTGATGATTAGGGCTGCAAGATTGACCGTGGGGAAGGCCGAGAACTCCGAGGCTGCTCCCGCGGCTATGGCGTCTGAAAAACACAATCAAATCAAAATCCAACAGGCGCTTGGTCTTGCATTTAAAAAGTCTGGCGTGGTCTAGAAACGCATGAAAAAACTTTAGAAGGTCATTGAGTGCAGACTTTTACGTGATAAATTATCACAGAGCAGAACGGCTCTACATTGAAGTACAAAGAACTGATGCGAGATGCGAGTGCGTGCACTTATCAATAGATGGCACTAGTATAACATATTCCGTTATGGGGGCGACCCGAGTTTCAAAGAGCTGGACTACTGAGGCAGGCAACAGCAACACACATAGTTTGATCCAAATGGCACATCCACTCTCAAACAACCTCCTGGCCATACTTGGAGAATGCTGGAGACCATTATGTTGTTGATAGTATGTCTCCCGGTCTGCGGATAAGAGACTATTTTAGAGGTAATGTGAAAGAGGAAATTACTTATTTGAAGACTAATATTACATCAATTAATTTGGAAAAAAAAAGCTTCCTAAAAGAGTTTCTCGGATAACAATTTATCTATTTAATGCAGCTCCAGGGTGTGTTTGTACAAGTGCCAGGCTTGCAGTATGTGCATTGTTAGACTCGCACGGCTTGATCAAAAGAAGTGCTGTCACAGTGTTTCTCTGCAGCGAAACTAGAGGACCTAAATTACTTCCACTCAGAAAAGGGTGCCGAAAAGCTAAAGTGGATATAATTCTTTCCTGAGCGTGCACAGGTATATGCAAGGGCCTTTTTCTGTATGTCTCAACCCCAGCTTGAATATATTCATTCTCACAAAAAGAGAGAAAGAAATGTTTCAGGACTGTCCTACCTGCTATCTTGGGGATGGTAATCTGGCGGCTGCTGATCCCTTCACCTCCCTCACTGAAAGGTTTAATTTGGATTACATAGCCTTGGTTGACCGGCAGCGACAACTCCAAAGAGGTGTTGTTGGTCTCCACCACGTTGGGACGACTGTGTTTGTCCTGGCTGTACATCACCTGAAGGAAACAGAGTGCGAACGACGATAACAGAGTGTGGCGTGGCATGAAGGCACTCACAATGCGACATATGAGTGTTTTATTTTTCCTTCCTAGCGCGCTGACAGGACAATCTAAGTGTGAGCTGCAGCTCGGCGAGTTGGAGTGAGCAGTATCTGAAAGTTAACAAGAACGAGACTCTTGCTTTAGATATCTGCACATGACTGTGCCGGGTCACTGGAGGAGAGGGCTCAGTAGAGATAAGGCAGAACTGCCGGAAATCTTCAGTCCTGACTTTTCAGCTGCGGTTTGGGTGCATCTGCCCATTTTAACGCACGCTAAGCTCTCCACTTTCACTTGACTTGTAACGGGAATAATGCGACTAAGACCAAGTCTTCACACTTTCCGCCTGTTTAGCGTAGGAGGCTGCAAATTCGTGCTCCTATTTATTTACATTTACAAGCCAAGTGACACTTGGAAAGACAGATGAAGATAAAAACCCTGAAGCAGTTATTATAATATCTATTGTGCACTTGATGCTGCAGTGGCAAGTTAAATGTCACAATATGGGAAGATGAACGCCAATAAGATTTTACTTCATACATGCTTTTCCTGAGATGACTCG